TAAAGGCTATATTTCATATTCTGTCTTTTTTTTTGTTCACATTTTTTTAAAAATAAAAACCCTGGAGAGTTCTTCAGATTGAGATTAGCAGGTGGAAGTTGCAGTTGCATCTTAAAATAGATACTTATTGGCATGGAGCCATATTTTATTGGCTTTAAGAGAATCTAGAGGCTTGTCTATGCTGCCCTGCAATTTGGTCTATCGGAGTGTGAACAGCAGTGTGAAACAAAATGCTATTTTGTAACACGCTCAACATGGGCGCTGCAGGAGTGAACTAAAATAATTCAAAGTTCCTACTAATATCATCTTCTTCAACGAGGACGACATTAATACCAAGTGGGCACCTTTTAGTTTGCAGCTGTAGCATCCACATTAGGGAACATAGTGTAGAACTTTGGCGCACAGTTATTCACACGCCAACAGTCCAAATTGCATGACAGCATACTCACCACCTAATTCTAATGAATGGGGCCAATTTGAGAGCTTAAGACTGGAATCCTGTCTTTGCTCACTGAAAGCAGTAGTGCCATTTTCCCACATGGCTCCATAAATATGCCTTACTCTTGAATGGAGACAGCATTTGCCTCTCTCTAAATCCTTGCAATCGTACACATCCCCAGATCCTTGCTAAGAGTATCAGTTACGATTTGGGTGCATTTCTATGATAAACTAGCATGAAGTGAGACCAGCTGCCAGTCACTGAACGGTAATGCATATTTTCAGTCAATACTGATTTTTGCTAGTTTAATCAATGCCCTTTGTACAAACTGCACTGTACAAAATGTACTACCCTACCATTTCAGTGCTCGTGGAAGGTACTAGAAAAAGTACTTTGGTGAGTAAAGTTCTTTACATCATTCACAGAGCCAGGATACGACTACACCGAAGTAGTTAATGAAGCGGAGATTTAAATATTAACATGATCTCGCCGGCCCTTAGTCCGAACTAACGTTACTCCTCATTTTTGGAGGAGCACTTCCTGGTTCGAACTAGGATTTGAACTAGCACGCCGGCGAGATCATGTTAATGAAGCACGGGATATTTAAATCCCCGCTTCATTAACTACTTCGGTTGTCTCCATTTGCATCCCTATGCCGAACTAGGGATGCAGTGTAGACGTATCTCCATATAGTACAAGCAGTGGTAGAGACTTGCCTCACACGGAAATGCCTACATTCTGTTTTGGCCTTACCACTTCTGGGGGAAAGCCTACCATGGAATCCTTGGCCTTAGTCCTGAGGCAGCCATGTGCTTCAGTTAAGTGGGCATTTCTCCACTAGGAGCACTTCATGAACCATCATGAACATGCCTTTATGGTCATTGGTGAGCTTGGCCATAGATAAACAGATGATCTACTGAAAAGGTTGCATGACTCATTCCCAATACCTGAGCCACCCAGTCCCCAACAATTCATTTCTAATAACATTTCTGCCTTGAATGAAACAAACCAAATGGATGAATGATTCATAAGTTGAATGATGAGCAATTAGGTAGTATGAATTTATTAGCATATTTTTTGTAGGCCTGTCTCTCTCCAACCCTAGGCACAGTATGGCACAAAGCTATCAATGGTGTTCTTTCCCCCCACACTGATTAATGTTTGCTTGCAGGTGCTTGATTACTTTATTAACATGTCACAAATCTGCAACATTAGCATGGCTCTTGAATGAATTAACTGCTAAATAACCTTGAGTAACACTTAAGTTCCAAGGTGTTCTGTAAAAATAGAAATGTGGGCCTCAGTAGCATCAGCAAACACATGCTGTCTGCTAGCACTATCAGCATTATCACTAGTGACGGATGCCTTCTTTGAGGAGATAAAGAAGAATTTTTTATTGTCCACATAGTGCTGAGTCTTGGCTAAATTCTGCCCTTGTTGGGGAAGTGATCCCTGAGGATTATACCGTTGGCCATATTAACTGTAATTAACTGGCTGGAGGGGGAAACGCTACCTTAGATGGAGTCCTCCATGCTTCTGTGTATTATAGTGTGCAGGCTGGAGGCTATGCCTAAACTACAGAGTGTTTCTGGGATAAACTCTGCTGTGTCCAGGGAATGCGTCCGCTTTTCCGCAGTTTCCGAAAAAGCAGGTGCGTTCTTTCGGAAACCTTGTGTTCCTCATTTTATGAAGAAGAAGGGATCTTCTGAAAGAGGAGGTTTTCCCCACATTTGGCCCAGTGTAAACAGGACAAATGTCAGAAAAGCCTTTTCTGAAAACAAGGTGGAAAAAGGTACGCAAATTGCAGTTCTCAATTTGCATATCTTTTTCTGGAAAAAGAACGCAGTGTGGACATAGTCTGAGTGTGAGCCAGTTTTCCCCCTTATGCTCAGTTGAGTTCTGTTGCAGAGCATATGCCTTACTCTTTGTGTATGCATATATGTGTGCAGGAGAGTCTCCTCCTTTTATCCTCTTCTTCCCCCTTGCATGTTGCAGCAGTGTCAGGGCACTTTCACACTGCGTATATCATTCAGCTCTCATTGGGAAGTTACCACATCTTTTCAACTCTGCCATTAGTATGACCACCCAGATCTCGAATGCACATGTATTGCACATGTAATGCTCAATGCAGCAACGCACTTTAACATGCTCTTAACTGTAAGCACGAGTAATCCCAGAGCCTACAAGAAGACAATAGGTCAATTAAATAAGTGCTTTATTAAATTGAGATCTTGATATGCAGATGTTTGTGAAAGTGTAAGGGCTGTCTTGATATACATAATGTAACTACATAATGTAACTGTGGTTTCCTCCTTAACCTGTGGGTTCCACCTTAGCTTTCTAATATATATTTTAAATTCCCTCAACCAAGGTTAAGAGATAGGGGTGTACTGAAAATCATGCAGAATAAGAAAGAACAAAGACATGGCTTTTTGATATGTTAACGAGATGTGATTGAATTGTATTAGTTATACATAGCTGCAGTAGTAATACATTATGATATTGCTATTCCTTCTAATGTGCATGTGTTGCATTTAAATTGGAAGATGGATTGTTACCTTAAAACATACAGACATGGTATTTTTCCATAGTGAATGGACTAGTGCCTCTCTCCTTTTAAAGCAGATATATCTGATAAAATATCTGTTGTTTGACAACAAACCCTCTTATAGTATGCTGCAATAAAACACACTGGGCCTAAATCACTACGTGTTACTCCAATTACACTTTGTAGTTCTACCTATTTCAGTGAAATTTCAGAGACTTTAACTACTGCAAAACAGTGGGGAATTGGGCCTCCTAACTGCTTTGCTCATATTTGTCTTGGCTTCCTTGACTAACCAAATTTAATATTTATATTTAGTGCCTAACCCTGCTATCTCTGTGAGGCAGTTGTGTGCATGGACTGCTTGTAGGAATATTTCTGATGGTTTCACTGTTTTCTATAGGTTAGTGTGCAGGTTTTTTTTTTTAACTTAGTGACTGGATCATCTATTCCCCATCTTGTTTATGAAAATACCAGCATTAGACACTGTACAACAGTTTCTGGAAACATTAAAAGATCACTATGTTTCCTTGTTGAAATTACCGCTTTATTATTCTCTATGATGATGGGCCACTAGAGCTAGACTTTACTATTGATCAAAAACAATGAGCTGTCAAAGACTTAGGGCCTGAATCTCAGGCTATGTCTATACTACAGAAGTTTTTTTTCGGAAAAACAGCCAATTTTCTAAAAAAAAAATTAACTTACATCCACACTGCAATCACGTTCTTTCGGGAAAAAAATCGAAAGAACAGAGGGGTTTTTCCAACATTGGTAAACCTCTTTCTAGGAGGAAGAAGCATTTTTGTGAAAGGCGTGTGTGGACGGGGAAAAGGGAGTTCTTTCGACAGAAGAGGAAAGAGGAAAGAGCACAGGTGCCCTGGTGGCCCTCCATCCATAGTAGTCACAGCTTAAATGCGAGATAGTGTCCATTTAGTGTGGATGCTATCTTTTGAAAAAGCAGATTGCTTTTTTGATGTGCTTTTGCAATGTGGACGCTGTCTTTTGGAAGAAGTTTTTTCAGAAGATCTCTTCTGGAAAAGCTTCTTCTGAACGAAGCCTGCAGTCTAGACATAGTCTCAGTGACATTAAGGCCCCAGTTACAGTGCAAAAAGGAGCCTTAGTGTAAATGAGACTCAGGCCCTGAATTTTTTCACATATTTTACAGTCACTGGTAAAACAGAAATAATCATAATAATTCATAGAAAGTTGATAGTATTGTAAATGCAGAGGGTGAAATTCACCTTTGTGGGAAGGCCTGCACAAGGCATATGTGCTATTTACATTTCAGGGCAGAAGTAGAACTTGAGTAGTGCACAGCTTTTCCAGAGCCATCTGCACATGAGTGATTTTCACCAAAGCAGAACACTTTTATTAAAGATTAAACCAAATTCCTGATTAGTATTTTTTAATAGTTTAGCCTTGGAAGGCGTAAAATATTTTTTGACCCGCTCCACAAACAGAAACACCAAATGCCCTAAAGAATAAATATGCACAACCGTAAAGCCACTGTATATCTGGGCTAGAGGTCTCTTTAAGTCTAAAGCTTAGGGTGGCTCTTTGAACTTTATAGTAAACCATTTATTTGTGATGGCTTGTCTACAGTGGGGGTGTGTCTAGACTACATGCCATCGTCGATGGAGGCATGTAGATCAGACAGATAGGCAAAGGGAAATGAAGCTGCGATTTAAATAATCGCGGCTCCAGTTAAATTTACATTGCTGCCGCGCTGAGCCGACAAACAGCTGATCAGCTGTTTGTCAGCTCCGCGCGCTAGTCTGGACGCGCCGTGCCGACCTGAAAGCCTTTTATCGACATCCCCCTTATGCCTCGTAGGATGAGGTTTACAGGGGATGTCGATAAAAGGCTTTCATTTAGACAGGGGAGCATCCAGACTAGCGCCCGGAGCCGACAAACAGCTGATCAGCTGTTTGTCGGCTCAGCGCGGCAGCCATGTAAATTTAAATGAAGCCGCCATTATTTAAATCGCGGCTTCATTTCCCTTTTTCGAATACACAAATCTACATGCCTCTGTTGATGGAGGCATGTAGTTTAGACATACCCTGGGATATTACACTGTATGGGAATGTGATGTCACAAGCATACTAACATGTTGCACATTACCTGGTCTGTGTAGCCTCTGTTGCTTTGCTTTAATACAGTGTTGTTTAAAACAGCACTTATGGTAAAGAGCACAAGGGAACTTTTAGTGGGTACCAGAAAGGGATATAGTGACCACTCAATGCACACTGTTGGTGCACATTAGAAATCACAGCCCTGAGGAGCAGTTCCCTGCTGTGCAGACAAGCCCTGTTACATTTTCTCTTTGGTGCACATGCTTCGGATTCTAAGCCAGGTGACAGCTACGCATGGCGTACACCAGTAGCCACTGGATCTATGCCAATGTGCTCTAAAGTATTTTGTCTCTTTACACATGTAGAGCATTATTAGTGCCAGACTTCTTTTCCTTGGGAAATTTAATTTTAAAATGCTGCAATGTTAGGGAGCCATTCTGTTTTTAATGATGTCAAATTAGATGCCACACAGCAGGATTGAACTGATTGTTCTCACTTGCACTGGTATAACTCCCTGGACTGTACACTGTTGGTGTATGGGCAGACTATTCTCACAACTGTATACCGAATGCTTTCACGTGTATATTAGCATACGCATATTACAGACTCAGGCTCCCCAAGGGAGCTAAGCCACAGTTACCATCATTTTAAATTTAGCTAAGAAATAAGCGAGTGATCCAGCGTGATTCTGAGCTCATCCTGCTGTGCCTCCTTGGCGCTTGCTGACTTCTGTGGGAATTCAGGGAGCTGAGCACTTCTTAGGACTGAACAGTAATTTGTGGCATTGAGTCTGTAAGGCCTGGGCCAAAGGCCACTGAAGCCTCTACTGACCTCAGCAGAAGCCAGATGAAACATTGAGGCCTAGACTGCACTGGAGCATAAGATCGACCTAAAATATGCATCTCCATCTATGTTAATTGCATAGCTGGAGTCAACATATCTTAAATAGCTGTCCACATAGCGAGAGGAGCAATGCTCCCATTGGCTTCTCTTATTTCTCATGAGGAACAGGAGTATCGGTGCAGACAGGCGTGCCCTCTGACTTTGATTTAGCATGTCTTCATTAAACCTGCCAATGGAACCCCAGAAGATCGACTGTGGCAGTGTCCATCTTCCCCATAGTGTAGACGTGCCCTTAGTGATCAGGAAAAGGTCAGAGTATGAGAATTAATTTGTTCTATCAAATGCGGAGATATGGGAGAAGAATAAAATGTTGAATGCCAATTACCAACCAGTTCATAACCTGTAGCCCTTCAGTTTGCGTTTGTGACTTGCTATAGCACGTGCTTCTGCTAGAGTGTGTTTTTACAGAAAATAAAAAGTACAAAATCAAGGAAGAAAATAGTGTAACTCTATTACAAATTGTGTACATCTATTTCCATTGACAAACGTTGCCATCTAACTCTTGGGGCATTGCACTTGGAGAATTGGGGAAGTCTCTATGCACACTTGTTACCTCAACATGTATTAACCAAAACAAAAAACAAAACCCCCCAAAACTCCAAATAGTTACAACTGAGTTTTGATACAGCCCAAGTGTGAGCCCATTGTTTGTGTAAGAAAACCAAACAAACAATCTTCATAAATATTATTGTTTAGGGAAAATATTCAGGCCTTTTTCTTGCATAAGGCCCACTGGGTGAGCCATTTGCCGTATCAGGCCTTAGTCCAACTTTTCAGTTGAGTAGTGACTATTCCATATGCTGCAATGGACTTTACAGGGTATGTTCACCTTTAAACCAGACCATACAGACTTTTTTCCAGCAAAGCAGCAAATGTGGGGACATGGGGGCTGGTGAGAAAGTGCATAGGAGCACCAGAGATGATGCAGAACTATTGCATAATAATTACTGACTGGATCTGAAGATGTTTTTCTGTTTTGCTCCCAGATTGCAAGCAACTGCCCAAGGTTTAAGAGACCAGAAGCAAATATTCCTGTACAGTGTCTGTATTAAAAGGATGCAATATACTTGTACAATATGTGATATATCTATTTTTAGGGTATCTATTTACTTACTGCGCCATCCTATTGTAATTTCCACATATATTATCTGCTCCATTTCAAATTTACCTTGTTCTCATCATTTCTGGTGAACAAGGTTTTGGCTAAGTGTTTTTTATGAATAGTGAATTGTTTTTATCAATTACATGTGGTCTTTCTATTATTTGGTAATTTATCTTACCAAATCTTGGCACTTCCCATCCCCCAAATGTGATACCCACAACTCTCCTATAATCTAGATAAAAACGCTTTGGTACAAAAATTACCCCTTCCCATAAAATACCGAAGTATTTTGTGTCCCTTCATCAGGCAGATAGTTATTTTTGTATCTGGCATTTTCCCTCCAGGATTCAGATTTTCCCAATACAAATAAGTCCCAATAATGAAATCCAAAACACAACTGCAGGCTCAAATCCCAGAGTTTACATGAAGTTGCTGTTGATAAATGTATTTGTTCTGTTCCAGAGTAAACCATACAACGATAATTTGAAATGACTGAAGTTGGACAGACATTTTTCAAAATCCATTTAACCGGAGTAGATCAACAAATAAAAAATGTCAACTGAATAGATACAGCTAATATTAGTGTCAGCACTGAAGAGAGAAAAATGATTAACATCATTAAGTCTTGAGTACAGTTTTCTGCTGTAGTTGAGCAATATTAAAATCCTTCCATCAGAGTCCGTAACAATGTTCCATCTGATTTCAGAGAGGTGCTAACAATGCAGGCTGAGGGCCTGATTCTGCAAATCTTTACCCACAAAAGTCATCCTTACTCATTCAAATTGTCACTGAAGTCAATGGCCCAGATTCTGATCTCTTTTATATCAACATAAATCAGGAGAAATTCCACTAAAGACAATGAAGTAAAATACATAAAATGGTAAAATAAGGAAGTGAGCTCAGAATCAGATCCAGTGGATCACAAAAATCTTTGCAAAACAATGGCATACAATTTAATACAGTGAGATTATTCTTGTAAATCCTACTTGCATGAACCAGTTTTTGCAGGATCACACCCTCAGTTCTATAGTGAAATCTGTTGTTTGACTGAACAGGAAGTCATCTTGGAAACAGATCACTGCAGCAGTTTAGAAATGAGTATAGCTGATACAGAATTTCTCTTAAAAATTTATTCATTCATACTAATTGCAGCAACCTGTTTAAAAAAACCAACGTGAACACAAAGACATATGGGAAACAGTGCAAATGCAGAATTCCATATTCAGGTCTGCCTGTTCTTAGGTTTAAATTGGTCTGTTCTCAGTTTAAATGTTATCTGTTGTAACAGAAGAAAGAGGAAAGGATTCATATGTATAAATAAACAGACATTTTTCTATAAACAATTGAGATGGATTTCACAACATGTTGTTTATAGTGTATAAATGGCTGTTTGCCACTTATTCCATTTGGCTGTCTGCTAAGAGCAGGCTTCATGTGAGCTAGCCTAATTGCTACAATTAGTAACATTTAAATGGCTCATTGTGTTTTTATATAATTCTTCCCACATTCTGTGCTGTTGTGGTATAGAATTAGTAATTACAGTGCTTAGCCTGTTAATTCCTGGGCACATGTAATTATTTTCATCATGCACCTTCTGTAGCAGCTCAGCGGAAATAAGTTTGTGCTCAGGTGGCTGCCCTCTCACTTAGGATGAATGCAATTTACTCCACTTCCTACCTTGCACAGGGACAACAGAGGCAGCACTACAACCTCAGCAATTGGCTGAAGTCATTTCCTTGGCATTGTGCAGGCCGGTGCAAGGGGTGGGGGGATCCACAGTGTAAATTGCAGCATCTTAGTCATACTGAACTGCACTACCGCAAAAAGCAAACAGCAAAACAATAGCAACTTTATTAGCTGAAGCAATGATGGAGCCAAGTACCACTCCATGAAGAGTGCCATTTTTTAAGGCTTTTGATGAGCTTTAAGGAAAGGTGAACAATGAAGAATCACTTTAAAAGCTTTTTTTCCAGAAACAAATAGGCTAATAATGAATATTTATAGTAACCATGAAAAATAAATATTTGTATAACATAGGTATTTTAAAATGATCAATAATCCCTTTTTAAACATCAGTGTTAGTGCGTAACTTGTGTGCGGTTATTTAAATGATCTTTTCTTAAACATATAAACCTACAAACTTTAAAATGGCCAAGTTTAAGGACAATGTTTAAACAGCTCCATTTCATTTAGATCTACTGGTAAATTTGCTCAGCTCACTAGGTAAAGCTAATATGAAATTAATTTCTAACAGACAAAGAGACACAGTATTTTCCCTCCACAACAGCATAATTTTGAGCATTCATTTATTATGTGTTTTATGTTTATTTTCCTATAATTCCAGAATGGAATGTTAAAGAACTGATTTTTGATTACTTCAAAAGCAAAAGCTTAAATTTTAACATTTTATTTTTTCTGTTGTTATCCTATTTGAACTTTATTGGTTAATCCTAAAACTATAAATTGTGGTAAAAAGAACAGTGCATGTCCATTATTAATTATTCATAAGGCAGTGATGAGGTTTCTGGAATGGTCTGTGTTCAACAAAGAACTTCTAAAAGAATGTTCGTACCACTATTTAGCTTGACTGTTCATAGCAAAACAAATAGTCTATATAGATTATTTCAAAAATAGATTTCAGTGGATGTTCTAATCACTTTCCAGCTATCCATGATATTGACAAATGAAGTTTTTAGGGATCAGAATTTGACTTACTATAAAATGCTTCTTTCTCCATGAGCACAACTGGATTTATTCCTGAAGTGAGGCTAGGTATACTACCCTCTATGATAGCACGCATATAGCAATTTCCTTTGAGTTAGGACCGGCAATAAATCATTAAAAAATATCAGGTATTTAAAAATTTGATTTTTTTTTCTAAATAGAAAAAAATATTGGTGGGAGAATAAACTGAACTCTAAAAAACAAAGAAACAAACAAACCCCAAAGCAAAAATCTTACGATACAAATCTTGGGCTTTGACAAAGTTTCTTTAAACAAATTTATTTGGTAAGCTTCACCAAAATTTAAATTTAGGACTTAAAAAAGCCGGACACTGTTTTCACACGTGCAGGTTTTTAATTATTCCAGTAGAAGTCAATTTCTAATAGTGTTTTTAAAAGACATGGAGCTAGATTCACAAGGAGGACTTAAGAGTAAAATGTTGAATTGCAACACCTATCTTGCAGAAACCCTGTTGCCACCTAGTGGAATGCACAACCCCACACTAGGCACTTTTTCACTGCATGGGGAGAGTTAGGCGCCTAAAAAAGAGGTTCGTAGAAACCAGCAAGCAGAGCAGGAAGCTGTCTTAAGACAATAGGAACTGCTAAGGAGAGGGGTGGGCCTTCAAAGAGATTTAGGTGCTTAACTCTAGGCAGGAGGGAGATGCCTATCTCCAATTGAGATTTACGGCTATGCTCCCTCTCCTTAAATTAGGCACTTAAACCAGATTAGTCCTGTCTCAGGAATAACCCAGGAGAAGGGGAAGGTGGTGGAACAGCTCAAATAGAAGAAATTGAGAGCTTTACCCTGGAATGCCTTCTACTCCAGTGGTTAGGCCTTTTAGCTGGAAAAGGAGAAATCTGTGTTCAAATCCCTGATCTACAGCAGGCAGAGGAGTAATCTGAGTTCTGGGTCTCATATACCCCAGATGATTGTACTGACTACTGGTAAAAGTAGGGAGAACCCAACCACCTCCTCCACAGGTAGTAGAAGAAAGCAAGGGGACTTAGATGAAATATAGATACTTAGGATTTTTAGCACCTGCCAGACTAAATGGCAGATGGGATGTGGTTTTGTGAATCCCAGTGGAGCTTAAAAGCTAGACTTAGCTGTTATGAGTCTACTGCCTCATGTTTCAGGTAAGAAAAACGTGGGGCGGCTTGGTTTGTATAGACTGACCACTAGTTTTAAGTGATGATCCGGTGTTTGCTTATGGAATGAAAGTTCTATTGCATTTCACTAGACAAAGGACTTGATTCCCCAAAATGTTGTATTTTCTGACTAAACTAATGCCTACTGAATAATCAACTGAATCCCCGTGGAAGGGGGCAATTACTTTCCACAGGTTTTCATATTCTGACTATCAGATGATCACTTTATTTAATGATCATGCCTGCAACTGGCTACTACTTAATTTGCAAACCTCTATGCAAATTTTCATACCTGGGTGATTTTTCTGGTCACAGTAAAATTTTTATTTTTCTCACTTGCAGATTCCTGCATTTTAAGAGATACTTTGTTTTGAGGATCTTGCCCCTAGCAAAAAACAACAGATTTTCAACATTTCATCAATTAAAAATCATTTAAGTATTGAAAATGGCTAATTGAATGTATACAAAGAAACCATGTGTTATATATCTTCTGTTATTTCATATTACAAATATAACAACAGGAGAGACTGAACTTCTCCAGCAACATATACAGCAGTGACTTACACTTAATATACCTGACAGTGGTTAAAATATCAAAATCACAGGTCTTCTCCACCCTGACAATGATGCTTAAAATAATAAACCTACAGTTGTGCTCCGCTTTTCTAAGATGGATAGACATAGTTATACTGATTTGTTTCTCATGGAAACCCTTTGGCGTCTTTGCAACCCACCTATTCTTGAAACAGGATTCACTTTTTATAGAATATTCTAAAAGTACCCATGTAGGCTTTCATATGGCATTACACTGCAAATTAAATCCATAATGTGTAAAAAACATGTTTACAATTACTTGTGGAGGCCAGTTGATACAATTTGTGGACCAGTTCTTAAATTCTACCTTATTAAAGAGAATGAGATGTATTAAAAGATTTGTGGTTTATAAAAAGTAACACCATTATATACCATATTTTACTTTACAAAAATATTGAAATAATCCATGAGTTATTCACTCTGCACCAGCTTTAAAAAAAATACTATCAAATTTTGACTTGCACCTTTAATGCAACTGAAAGCACCATCAGGGGATACTTTTAACATAAAGAAGGATACCATAGACTTGATCATACCTTAGGGAGGTATGGTATTAAAACCCAGAAGCTTGCAGCAAAAAACACTTTTTACAAGTGAGTCAACTTCATTTTTAATAGGTATGGAACCAAGTCTTGAATAGTTTCAAGAGGGTCTTCCACATAGCTTGTTTTAATTGTACTTGACGGTATATACTTACTAACAGGTGGCTGAAAGCCTCTAAAAGACATCACTTTCACCTTATGTGGAGGGAGGGGGGACAGACCTGTCTGTACATGTGGAGAACTTGATTGTTCTTTTCTGCTTCCTGCTCTTGTAGGGTTCATGCCACTCGTTTTCTGTTCCTCAGGCAACAATATCAATCTCGTAGTGATACAGTGTTTGGCACTAGAAGGGTATGGCATGTTGCGTCTCTTATCACACCTGCATACATTCATACACAGAGCCATGCATTCTGAGTCCTGAAACAGATTTAAGTTACAATGTGTTCATATGCTTCCTCTCAGAATCTGAACATAGTCCTCAAAAGTTCAGAGTATGAAACCTACACTTTCCTCGTTCTTTCTTTTCTTTGTTAAAGTGTTTGCAGATTGAACACTGAATCATGATTATCATTTAATTTACATCACTAGGTGCTAGAGCTCCATGTTCCTCCTGAAAGCCAGAAGTGAGCTGCATAGGATTTCTGTCAAAAGAAACTTGCTGAACTGAAATTTTAATTAAAATGAATTTTGAATTCTATAGAAAACTAGTAGTTCTGTTGGTACTAATGCTTATTACCTGATTAATCAGACTCTCGCTTACACTCCTTTGATAGGCTTGCATACAAAACAGTGTACTTTTTTGATTGAGAACTATCTTGCAAATCTATTCTAAACTGAACTGTTTAGCTGCTGGAGACTTGAGGATTATACTCCTATCTTTTTTGCAGAAACCAGAGTTTTCTATAACAGCAACATTGCCTGGTACAATTAAGCTATTTTGACAACGTTTTTTTGTTTGTTTTGTCATTAAATAAGCAAATATCAATTGTTCATTTCTAAAGTAAAATGCACTACTGGTTAAAGTTGAAAGCTCTCATCAGAATCATCCTGTTGATTGTAAGTATTGTGTAGCAGAGTTTCATAGCAGCAGGGAGTCATGAGCTGGGTTTATTTCCCAGTTAAAGAAATAGATTTTTCGAGGCTCTCAGGTGATGCTGCTTTAGAACTGAACTGCAGTCAGACTGCATACAGAGGATCAAATGATAATCATGATGATAGCCATACTATGAAAACTACCACTTGCTGCTCTATTGTACTATGCAGTTTAGTTATTGCCACAGCCCTACTGTCAATCCACAATTTGGACTGTAACTTTGTAGCTTCTTCAAGTCTTTATTATTTTTATAAAGTGGTTTCATATTCCAAGCGCTCCTGAATAAGGGCATCATCTTTATACTGTAGCCGTGGTGGAGCAGGGGAACATTCAAAAGCTAAAATAGCCTTCCGCAGGCTTCTGTCCAACACGTGTCTCTCCCAGGCTGGGTATCTGTTCCTGAACAGATCAATTTTAATGACTGACTCTTCAATCCTTGGTGGCCGGGATGAAGGTGTCGAAGGCGCTGTGGGCCTTACCTGGAAGACAGGCACGCACCCATCTCTCTCTGCCAATTTCTGGTCCCGGTCACTTGTGACACTCCGATTGTTAGAGATCGATCTTAGAGTGTTTGTCGCCACTTCTGGGGGCATAGTGAAGGCAGTGACAGGGTCCTCACAAGCACAGCTTGGCGACTGCCCAAATCTTGGTCCATTGGGATGAAAGAAGGCATAGTACATCAGCATAAAAACAATGCCTGTTAAAAAGCTGCTGAACACCACACACAGTGCTGGTATGGCGAAAGCATCAGAGATCAGTGGGGCCTTGTAAAGATACCAGAGAGCACTCAAGGCAGTGTTTTCTAAAAGGATCACAAAATAGTAAATGAAGAGTCTGCAACGTGTCCTTCCTTCTTTGACATTGAACCAGCTAAAGATATAGATAATCCCAACAACCATATCAAATACTATCTCTTCCCATTTAGTGATGCAGAACTCTGTTTCACAATGAACGATCCAGAAGGTCATGATACACCAGTGAAGGACTATGAAGATCCCAAAGTACAACTGGAAAACTGAGGCAAAGAGAGCAAAAGTAATTACCCTGGCTGCAATTGTGAAGAAATGCCAGCAAAACTGGATTATAACAGCCATATAACTTATGGGTTTCTTGTCATCACGGGAATCACGGAGGGCTTTCTGGTAGGACGCCAAAGCCCAAGCCAGGGACACAAGAGATGCTGCAGCTGTAAGACCTAGAAGAAATAGAGAAGATGAAATAAAGGGTTAATTAGTGCATTAGAATCAATGGAACCAATGGTTGGAGCCAATGAAAACACATGCGCTCCATAAACCACAGTATAATAAACCACACTCTTCATAGTTAACACAAGGAATTCGTACTGTCTCCCCATTGCTCGACAATCAGCTAGGGCCAAATCTCACATTATTGATATTTAATTGTTTTTTCAAAGTGGACTTCATTGTAGTTGTTTGCGTACTATCAAATATTATAATGAGCACAATTAAAGAAGAGTTGCCTGTCTATCATGTCTGGTAATTTAGTCGCTAATTCACAAAAATAAGTGATTAACAGTAGAGCTCTTAGTCAATACTGCGAGTTAACAATGCTCAGTTACTATTATTATTTTAAAAGATATGATTTTTCACTGTTTCTAAGAAAACTATGTAACAGCTCAATATAAAATTAACATGTCTTTCTAATTTAATTATCACAGTATACACTTATGGGGCTACATGATAAATACATAATTCAATTCATTAGGATTTAGGAATATGATTAGATCATCCTAAAATATCTGTGATTTAGATATTAGAATACTGTTCATCACAGCTGGCCTAGAAAAGATTAATGAGTCTGAGAAGAGGCCAAATGACCAGATATAATAGTGCTGAGGAGAAGCAGGTGGCCCAAGAAACCTCGAAATGATGATGGAGCCCAGCTGAGAAGGAATAGGTGGAATCTGGCAGCAGAAAAGGATTTCAGCGAGGGAGCCTGAAGACACGTTTTGGATATTATAGAGGGAGGGAAGGAAGGAATCCTCTGGGGAAAGGGTACGCAAAAAGGATCAGGGAAATGGCAGCAAGGGTTAAGATGGTGCAGATTTTGGCTGCTGATTAGATGGTCCCCAAGTAGGAATCTGGAATAGAGGGCAGATACAGGTTTCCTGACCAGCTGCTTGGAAAGTGGCATGACCGGGACAGTGGATTTGGCGACTGTGTGGGATGGTTTGCACTGTGTGAATTTGACATCCCATGGAAAGAGAAAATACATAATGAGATAGCTGTATGGCCAACCCATTAAAAGGGAACAGCCAAATCCTGGAGAGAAAGACCTTGGGATTTGTGAACAAGTGATGGAAAGGGGTCTCAGATCTGGCAGGAACTAATCACAGAGCAGTTGGGAGGAGGCACCCTAGTAGTGAATAAAGAATCCTACTATAATATCATTGTCATAACATAAGAACATGACATAAGAAGGTCATATTGGGCCAGTCCAAAGGTCCGGCTATCCCAGTATCCTGTTTTATGATAGTTGCCAGGGTCAAGTGCCCTTTGTCACATTATGTGCTATGGTTGGTTTGTACTTTTTTTTGTCTAATAATCTAATTTTTCTACACATTGTCAAGCATTTTCCACTGGAACAATTTTCTATTAGAAAATGCTGATTTGTTGAATTAAAAATATTTCTCAAGAACTCATCAATTTCACAGAAATGTCCAATGAAAAATTATTGAAACATTTTGTGTAGACTTGTATAATATATACAATATGGCAAAATATAAACACTGAAACGATCAAGTAAAAACAAACTAGTCACAATGAAACAAAGGGTTTAAATCTTATTGAAATGGAATGAAATGAAGTCCTTCAGCCTTACCAATGTTTTGACAAGATTATTTTGATATTACCAAACTGAAAATTTTGTTTCATGGGAAATTTTGAAATTTCAATTTTGAATTCCAATTTGGGATGAAAGGAAAAAAAATGATTCATTTTCATAAGAGAACAATACATTGGTTCCTGCAAGCTACATTCTCTATCGCTGGCAGGATGCTAATGATGTTATAGTACCTATAAATGCACAGCAGAAGCAGAAGCTACCTCACATGTCTGTTATTAGAAAGACATCCATGGAAATGGGTTCTCAAACTTCATTGCACTGCTATTCTCTTCTGACAAAAAAAAAAATTAGTACATGACCTCACAGGAGGGGGACTGAAGCCTGAGCTCTACCATCCTGAGAGGGGAGGGGCAAAGCCAAACCTCGAGCCCCACTGACCCAAGACAGGGAGCCAGAACCAAAGCCCACAGACTTCAGGCCCAGGTGGGGGATGGCACTGTAACTTGAGCCCCTAACACACAGAGCTTAAACTCCCAGGCTTTGGTTTTGGCTCCAGGTGGTGAGGCTTAGCTTGGGCTCCAAGTGATGGGCTCAGGCTTCAAGCTCAGACTCCAGCAAATCTAATACCACCCCTAGCAACTTCATTAAAACGGCAGAGGGGCCCACTTTGGATCCTGACTCACAGTTTGAAAACTGCTGTGGTAATCTACCAAATTACTCTGAGGGAGACATTCAAGATGGGACAAAAACATTCCAAAATGAAAGTTAATGGAATAGCTCTATAACACTCAGGTCTTGAAACATTTAAAACCTAGCGGTATAATGTATTGATACTTCTCTGGTGCCCTGATTTAAAACTTTTATTTAAAAAAAGTTTCAAATGATGATACCTGAGGCAATACTGGCTCATTTATTTGATGGCTGCATTGAAACTTCATGTATCTCTTAGTGCTCTCATTGATCTAAAACGGATGCTACCTTAACAGCTTAATGATTATATAAAAATTATTACAATATTAATTCTCTGTGTCCATTTTTTTTGAAGAAGCACAGAGCTGCCTCAGGATAGAAGGCACATTTTTTGAGTAGTGTACCAGCACTTCTTCCCCCGTTTTGATAAAAGTTTTATTGATGGAATCCTCCTTCATGAAGAGAGCAAACAATGAGACTCAGTGAGGAAGGCTACGAGAAGACAGAATAAATTAATGATGTTTCCCTTTCTGATATGTACATTTGGCTTGTCATGCTGAACTATCTCTCAGTAATCATTATTTCTATAGGCAACATTAGCAATTGAAAACATAAGCACTCATGTTCTTATGGGAATGGTTTAAATACAGCTGCCAAAACATAATTAAAGAGTGTCATCTTCATAAGATGAAAAAAAATGGGAAAGAAGGAATAATGAGAGTAATTAATGAATGATGTCATCACTGGTAATTTCCTCCAATTTTAATACAGGCAGTCCCCGGGTGACATACAAGATAGGGATTGTAGGTTTGTTCTTAAGTTGAATTTGTATGTAAGTCGGAACTGGTACATATTGTAGGGGAAACTCTAGCCAAACATTTCTCCGGAGCTCAGTTTTATTCTCCCACACTTCACTTCCCTCAGTCCTTTATTCTCAAGCTCAGGTGTCTGCTGAGAAAAGCCGCTCCGTGTCTCCCTGGTCTGCTGGGGAGGGGGGCGCTAGCTTCACGTCTCCCTAGTCCGCTGGGGGGAAGCAGCTAGTACAGGGTTGCCTCATCCCGTTTGTAAGTAGGGATCCGATGTAAGTCGGATCCATGTAACCCGGGGACTGCCTGTAGTGTTGAACAAGAGTTCCAAAATTGTACTATTGACAAAAGATGGCATAACATATAGGAGAGGTTTTTTAATAGTTTCTTGGCAAATCCTTCCATGAGGACCACACAATCCCCAAATATCATGTCTAGTAGGGATGTTAAAATGTTTGTAATTAAGTAAACGTGTAACCATTGAAATTGGCAGTTGGCCCCCCAAGAGCTGGTATGCATGGAGAGCCAGTTTTTAAGCTGGTTCCCTGAATATACCAGTTCCCATCTGCTGCCCCACGCTGCTGCCTCTGTATAAGAGGCAGCAGCAAAGGGTGGCAGGTGTCTGCACTGGGAGCTGGTCCACACAGGGAGCTGGCTTAAAAGCCTTCTCCCCATGTGTTCCTGCTCCCCACATCCTTTCCTTTCTTGACAGTGAAGACAAGAAAGTGCCCAATCCTTACCACCTGTAGTCATGCACAGCTAAAGAAAATCCACTTCCACTGGTATCATTCTAAGTTGAGCTGTGTAAACTGTGAATTTTGTACCTAGTCAATAGAAGTGATAGGGCTTGAATGTTTTCACAACAGCCAGACACTTCAATTCTGTAGCTGAATACTTGGTTTCCCTCTCATTTAATATACAGCCTCTGAAAACCACTGATCTGCATCCACTAAGCTCATCTACTTGTCCAATTTAAAACTTATAGCGACTTTGGGACATCACACATTAACACAAACGGACAAGGCGACTGTGGGAATTTAAGCACAGCAGTGGCTCACATGCTTTTGTGTGTCTCTATCCATCCCAGACTTGTTCTTAGTTAGTTGTTCTAATGGCTCTGTCTGCTCCGAATTTTTAAAATAAATCTTCTATAGAGTCTCTGAGGTCAACCAACCACTGTGCCTCCAGGTGTATCAAAATTTCTCTAACTACATGGAGACTGAGAAATTAGTCCAGGACTGTGATCTGCCTCTAGTGGTGGGAGGCAGAGAAAATGATGCCCTGCCTTACAAAAAAAATCAGTGTTGGATGAATTTGGGTGCTTATGGCACAGACAAGTCATCATCTGTCTGGCCAGCTGACAGGAAGAATAGGTGAGCACTGACAATGCCAGGCAACTATGTGGTCCAGGTCTGTAGGAACATTCCAGTCCTTTATAATGTTCAATTTCTGTGGTTGGGGTTCATTTCTATTCCACCCTCTGAAATGTCCCTGGAGTATTCATGACTCAAAAAGACATTTTGTGGAACTGAAGCAGTCCTTAGATTTCCCCCCTCAATCCTCAGGTGCTCCTTTAATCTGGTGATATGTAGCTACTAAAGCAAAATTCCTAAAATATTTTGCCTTTATCCCTTTTCTTCATTGAAACAAAAAGATATTTTGGGTCAGAATAAATATTCTGTTTTCGTCTTTTTTTTCATTTTGTTTAATTTCATTTTCAGTTTTCTTACCTTTATTGTGCCTCCTAAATATATCCAAACTAAATTTCAGAACAAAATGTGAAATGAAAAGTTGAAATGCTCCATGTAAACATATTGGCTGTCTCTACACTGGCATGAATTTCCGGAAATGCTTAAAACAGAATAGTTTTCTTTATATGTATTTCCGGAAAAAG